GACGTTGGACTGTCACTATCTCTCTCTCTACATACACTGCCGCCCCCTCCTGGGGTTCTCCTTGCCCTCCCTTGGGGCCTTCTCTGCGCCGTCACCCTCTCTCGGGGCCTCAACACACCCGTACTGGGGCTTCTCAATAGTGCCCCCTCCTGGGGCTCGCCACGCCCGCACTAGGCTTCTCGATAACACCCCCTCTCTGGGGCGCGCTATGCCCGCACTAGGCTTCTCAATAAGGCGCTCCCCTCTCCGGGGCTCTCCGTGCCCAACTTGGGCTTTCCAATAATGTTGCCCCCTTTCTGGGGCTCTCCGTGCCCACTCCTGGGCTTCTCAAATGTGCTGCCCCCCTATCTGGGGCTCGCCACGCCCACGCTAGGGCTTCTCAAAAGTGCCCCTCTCTAGGGCTGGGGTCTATACACCCCGTATGCTGCGCCCTGCTGGGCGCCGGGGTCCTCATACTCCGCTGTGAGGCCCCTTTGAGGATACTGCACCCTCACTGGCGCCGGGGGTCCCCACGCCACTGTGGGTTCCCCCTGAGGCCTCCTCCAACCCTCAATAGCTTCACCCACACCACCGGTGTAATACATAACAACAAAACAAAACACAAGCCCCTAGGCTACAACTTAACTTAAGGCCGCCTGGCTATAACAACATTGCTCCAATGTCCCGGAGCTGCCATCTTTTACTCGGCTTGAGTAGTACCAGCGGGTCTCCCATCTTTGCTTTCGAGCTCCTCTCTGTCTGGCGACTGGCAGGGAACTGCTAGCCTGGCCTCAGCCCCTGGGCCTTATGAGGGCCAGGCCCTGCCCCTTCCCATCAGCTGACTTCCTGGTTGCCCTGGCAACCCACAGCTGTGCTCCATAGCCACTGCTAGGGCTTTTCCTCTAGCAGTTTTTCCTCTCCAGGAGCAGGGCACCTCGGTGCTCTGCGACATACAGAGTTTCTTATTTCCTATTTAAATGAATGACAGTATCTCCATGTGTGTTTCTTCTGGAGCATACTGGATATGAGACTCAGGTATCTGACTTGAAATTCCTTAGGTTGTTATTGGGTCAAATACTCAGAACACAAGACTTGTTTGTAAAAAATGGACACTCCTGGCCACCATGGGTGTTTATACACATGCTCCAGGAGTGGGGGAGGGGAGGTAGAGGAGGCTTTAATTAGAGCAGCTCTTGGAGATAGATACCTACTCTCAGAGTTGCTTTGATTAAAAGCGCCCAGAGCATCTTGTGTATCAGCATCACACTACTTCATAATGGTGGTAGGGGCATTTTATCTAAAGCTTGTTGAATGAGCTTTAGATAAAAAGTTCCCCTGCTGCCATTCTGAAGTGCAGGGATGCTGATACACAAGACGCTGGAGGCTGATGGAGCATGGCAATTATCATACTCTAGCAGACTCAATTAATTGAGTCTGCTCTGATATGCTGTAATTACAATGCATTGGAGCAGCCTCCCTGCTCATGTGTAGGCACCCCATGTTCATAATTAACTCTATCACATGATGCATACTGTGGTCATGCAATCCATAAGCTTTGCATTGGAAACATATATTTCTAAAACTCTCAAATCTATAAGGTTCTCTGCATATGGACAACTTCAGTAGCAGATGCAAAGATTCTATTCATATTTCCAAAAATAATGGCTTTTTAAACACAAACATCATATATTTTTTGTGGTTTAGAAATTTTTCAGCTGTAATATGGTCTGAAGCTGATGTCCGCCTCTCTTTCACTATATTTGTTTGCTTAATAGAGGCTTTTTCATGAGGTATTTATTACACAGCATGTCACTATGTTAATCCAAAAACAGTTGATACGCAGCATTAGGTTATGCCAGAACCAGCACTACAGAGCACCATGTCTGGATTTACTGTCTTTAAACATTTGCATCAGGAAGATAACTTAGAGTAAGTTGGCATTATTCTGCAAGAGACTATTAGTATTTGGTTTCATATGCTGCCTTTTGGATGCTGGATATACCACAGCATTTTGTCAAACAATTGGTCAATGTTAGTGCAGGGACTAAAGGCAATAGCATCTGATGCTATGCCCAGTACTATAATAACTAACATACTTAGCTGGATAGCTCAGTTTGATTTGATATTATATTTAGACAGAATTTCTAATGTTAATTGTTTTCAACTACCATGTTCTTGGTTAGTTAATATGATAGAGTATGAGCTAATTTGTTAAAATATGCAGATACCATGGTATATACCATATTTATTCAATTAAAAGATGAGTATTTTTCCTCACTTGACAAGGGGGAAAAAGCCCTCATCTTACAGTTGAATATGAGGCAGCACAGGGCAGACAGCTGGTGTGTCTCTGGTCCCAACCTTGGGTCGAGGCCAGAGCCACAGCTGCTGTCTGACCACCCCTCCTCTCCCACCTGTCCCTGCAGATTTGGCCCCTTGTTGCCCCCATGTCTCCCCTGCACTCCCTCCAACTGCACCTCTTCCCCTCCCCTTATCTTTGCTTTGGCGCTGGCATGCTCTGTCTCTGCTTCAACCTGCAGTATGGAGCAAAGAGCATGGCCCAGGCCTATAGCCAAGTCTGCGCTGCTGCTAAGGAGCTGGGCTGGAACTGTGCTCCATGCCATAGGCTGCACCAGAGATGGAGCAAAGATAAAATGGAGGTGGAGGGGCAGGTAGTGGTGGAAGATGGGGAAGAAAGAGTGAGGCCCCAAAGCTCCAGGAGGCAGAAGCAATGTGGAGTGGGGAATAGAAGAAAGGGATTGGGGATCTGAGGCTGCAGGAGGCAGGCACAAAGCGGGTATGTGCGGGGGCAGACAGTTAGCAGGAGCTAGCTACATACCTCTTCCACTGCCTGCCCCATTACTGCCCCCCTCATTGCCTGTCCTCCTCACTGCCTGCGGTTGGTGGGGGGGGGGTGGTGAATTTAGGATGATACTCTGTAAGGGGGGAGTTCCCAGAATTGTTTCCTACTTTAAGTTGCTTACATTATAATTTATGGGAATTAGAAGGGATGTGCAAAGCTTGGGTAGCTGACACACATACACACACACACACACACACACACACACAAACACACACACTGAAAAAGGCTGTTCTGTGATATCTACAGCTGGGTTTCAAAGCAGACATTTATTAAATCTCAGAAAGAAAGTCTGTTTTTGTGAGATCACAATTTTACAAATTCAAGAGGCCTAAATTAGCTTTATACAAGTATCTAAACTTTTGGCTTCTTACCTGAACCATTTGTAAGCCTCCCATCAATTACTTATGGCTTGGCCTACAATTCTTTTTAAAAAACTGTTTTGGGAAATTAGAATTAAAAATACAACTCCTATATAATATGGAAATACCCATTTCCATTCCATTCTAAGATTCTTCTGAAGCATCTTTAACTCAAAATATGCCCCATGGGAAGAATACAGAAGCAACTGAACCCCACCGTAATAGCTAATAGGCAAAAATAAAATTGGTGGCCAAAGGACCACATTTGCAAAGATACTAAGCTTCCACTGACTGCAACTAAAAATTGTGATTGTTCAGTACCTTGGAAATCCTTATGCAGATACCCAATTATTAAGGATCCAAGTTTGAAAATTTTGGCCCATGATCATTTTTTCATAGGGAGAAAAAGAACCCTATTCTTGACAAGAATCAAACTTTAACAACACACTCCTGGCAGAGCTGCTAGAGATTATGCCAGACACAGTAGCAGACATTTGAAAATCATTGATTTTCTCACTTACATAATTTAAAAAAGGTAACGAAAAACATTATTTTCCAAGTTTAAAATGTTCACATTAGAAAAAAATCCATTCCCCCCATAGAGAATATTTTATTTCTATGCTCTCATTTAACATACATGAAGACAACATTCTAGATTCAAAAGCTTTTGTCTTGCCTTCAGAAAAATTTAAAAAAAATATAGCAACTATAAAAAAATTAGATCATATGTTTAAGCCTTTAGAGAACAAAAAGGTTGCATTTAGCAAAATAAAAAGAGAGGGCTAGATCAACACATCCAGTTGTCAACAAGTTCAGAGTCAGATATGATTCCAAGATTTGAATCCATACATTTAGATCCACACTTGTGCCTTCTATATGACCTTTTCAATCTAAGGGCCCCTCTGCACATTACCTTTATCATGCAATTACCATGCCTTCAATTAAACCTGCCTTAATTAAATTTACCATGCCTTTAATTAAGCCTTTAGAGAACAAAAAGGTTGAGTTTGAAAAAATAAAAAGTATAAAAAAAAATAGAGAGAGAGGGCTAGATCAACACATCCAGTTATCAACAAGTTCAGTCAGATATGATTCCAGATTCGAATCCATACATTTAGAACCACGCTTGTGCCTTCTGTATGACCTTTTGAATCTAAGGGCCCCTCTACATATTACCTTTATCATGCGATTACCAAATTAACTGCACAGTTAATTTAGACCAGCTACATATGCAAATTAACAATCATGCTATAAAAAGGTCCAACGAGCTATAACGTTATTGCTCAAAAATGCTTACCAATGTTATAGCTGGTTGCTATCCAACTTTAATTTACATGTGTAGCGGGGTCTGCCCCAACTGTGGGAGGTGCACCATAAGCAGCCTGGGCTGGGAGGACCACAGCCAAAGGAATTCTCAGCCCCGGCAGTGCCAGGCAGCTGTGTGACTCTGGGTCCCATCAGCCGTGGGGTGCAGCTGTGATCTCCCAGGCCCAGTCAGCTCCCCCTGCACTGGCAATAAGGCACAATGGTATCTAATTCATGATCCCACAATCGCAACTCCTACCACTGCATTTGTGGCATAGCAGGGGGCTTAATTGTATGGACTGTGCATTGGCTCTCATTGCATCTTTACTTGCACATGTAGAGAGGCCCTACAACTGTCTGGATCCAGTTCTTTTTTTTTTATATGTACATTCATGTTTGCTCTTTTTCTGACCAATCTTTTAAATTCTGATACGGTTCAGTTGCTTTAGGAGGCTCAGATTAGACAAGCACAAGACAGTAATGAAAAGCCTTACCCTGTCACTCCATTCTGTGAGGAACCAGCTCTTTGCACAGGGCCCCATGTCACAGTTCTCAATATCACTTGGCCGTAGTTTCATGTTACACTCCTCATCATCAACAATGTCTCCAAGATTGCTGACACACTTTACATCTCGGGTCCTCTGCCCCACTCCGCATGGGACTGAACACTGTAACAAAAAGGGAGTTTGTTAGAACTGCATTAAACCATTATCCATGGTCTTATTATTTCAAGCTAGAGGTCTATTCACTCCTGTTATCATAGGTAGGAAAGAAAATGACCAGAAGAAATCCTCTAGATTGCTGAGGAAAGGGGGCAATTGCAGTCATTCTGTAGATCTGAAGCTCAGCCAGGTGCATTTGTGAGTGTGGCAAGATAAAATGTAAAAATGTAGGGTGACGTATGCTCTCCCCTTCTATAGACATGAAAGGTGTAAACATAGTAGGACCATGGTGGTTTTACTGTACTGCAGAACTTCTGCTGCAGCAGTGTAGTTTTACACAGTGTTTCCTACAGAAGCACCACTCATTATTGCCCTATCTAATCAAACAGAAAAGTTATAAAACTATCCAGGAGGAAGTGCAACTGCAGAACTAATGCTATTTCTTCAATCATGCTCATGAGTTATGTCCATGGGCAGGGAATAAAGTCAAATAAATTCAAAGGAGTGCAGCTTCAAAATGTGTGCGCGCCCCAAGACATAAAATGCTCAGACATGGTTCTGCCCTGCTAGTGCTCCTATCACCATCCAGGCACAGCATGAAAACAGAAAAACAAAAAATAAAAGTGTAGAAGATGATCATGAAATTAGAAATCATAATACAGATGTACAGGAAAAAAACTCATTAAAGTTGAAGAGGCAGCCTTATTGTAAGTGCTTGACTACAACTTCATATTCTCCCAATGGAGATTTTTCAATGTAATTATTACATACATTAACGCAAATTAATAGTTCCTACAGCAACTTACCTCACTATTTTCCTATCTAATAAGATGGGAAAGCCATAAAACTATCTAGAACAGGGGCGGGCAATTATTTCAGGCAGAGGGCCACTTACCCAGTTTTGGCAGGCTGTCAAGGGCCACATGGGTAGCCCTGCCCCTTGA